CCAAGCCCCAGCTAAGCCCTGCAAGCTCCTCACTTACTTTGCTATGTGCACAAATGGCTGATCCCAAAAGTTTCCATGTACCGCCCCGCCTGTCCATTCGGAGCATCCGTAGGATCTGAAGGAAGCGGAGGCTTCTGAGAGATGTGGCCAGAACATTGCCCTGGTTCCCAACAGCAACCACTGGCACTGAAGCAATCAGCACAAAGATATCTGCAAGGCGAAAAGAACAAAGCCTGCCAACAAAAGTGGCCCCGTCACCTGCTTCTTAATCCCATCTGGTTGTGCTGCAAATTTCCCTAGGCAAATTTTAAAGCTGCCTGAAAATGCCTTCTCTTGCCAATTAAACAGATATCTGCACCTGCCACACAGCCAGCATCATGCACAGAACCCACCAGAAAGCCTCGTAATCTATTTACAGATCGATGCACTGGACTTGAGACACTGTCTGAGCTATGCTGACAGAAAAACAACCTTAAATTCATCTGTCCCACAGGAACACCATAGTGAACACGTCAGCAGGTAAGAAATCCAGTTTTTCATAGTGCATCTAGTATTTTGTTCTTTTGGCTGAGTTTTCCCATTAAAATCTCAAAGCCAGTACTACTATTTTCTATAAGCGCTCACAGGGCCAATTTGCTGATTAACTGAAGAGGTTTGAAATGCAAAACACATTGCTTCTTTGTGTTTTATTTCTTTTTCTTTCTTTTCCTTGTTTTCCCCCTGCTTTTTGATCCTATACATATATAAAAAAATAGTGGTACTAAAAGGCTTCAAACATTCTCCGGGCACTCAGTCTTTAGATTGTCTTCATATTGTATTTCCAGCCAAAAAGAGTGGCACCGGATAGATTTCAGATTTATTCACTTTCAATCATTCTCAAAACAAACTTGTGCCAGTGACAACCAAGAGGTGATATTAATAAATCTAGTGGGATCTTTTCTGTTCTTTACCCAGATATCAATGAAGATTCATTCTCAGAAGTGAGATGACACTATTACCGAGAAGGCATGAGACAGTATCAATCCCACTTGCTCACACCGTGCTCTACTGTCTTCACAATGCTATTAGAAGTATAAGAAGTATTTATACAACAGTAGCACCCAAAGAAGCACTACTAAATTGAAGATAGCACAGATGCACAATGAAAATTTGTTCCAATTTTGTCTACCATTTAGACCCATAAGATGAACAGAAGGAGGGGAGAGGGAAGAGGGTAGCATGTATTCATGTAACTGCAGCACCACAGCTCCCCAGAGAGCTATGTGCTGTACAAATAAAGAACGAAAAGCTAGTGTTTGGCCTGAAGGGCATCAAAAGAAATGAGGGAGTCCTGGAAACAGTGAATGAATGTGGATGTGCATGACAGGTGCTCAGGGCAGAGTAAGCTCCTAAATGTTGGCTAGTTGGTTTGTGGACATAATGGGGAGTTTTAGGAGTGGATTCAAACATGCATAATGAGTAGTTTTATGATAGTTGTAAGCAATGCCTTCCAAGCCTGAAAGATAACATGGGTGAAATCACAAAGATACTTGTTTGCAAATGCAGACCAACATTACAAAGGTAAAACACAACATCTGAATATGAAAGAGGGCTGGGGAAGATGACACAGTGTTGGGATCTGAAGTGGTTTGAAACTAAAGGCAGACAGTATATTTTGGGATGAGCTTAAGAAAAATGCAGTGGGACTCAGGACAAGAAAAATGTGTTCAAAGAGTAGAAGGATCCATTTTTTTCTCACTGACCAGACACTCAAGAGTCTCTTGAATTAATTGTTATTGCCGGGTATTTCAAATAACTACTCCAAGCAGGACACAGCTCCTAGCACAAAGGGCAGATCTGATTTCAGTGCTCTTTGCTCTGCCATTCACTGGTTCTTGGACATCCCCCCAAACTGGCTTAGAAGGAAAAGGACATAACAGGGAAAACAGTAGTAGAGAGCATGTGCTTACCCAGCATGCACAAAGGCTTCCTGGCAAATTTGAGTCTCCCCCTCCATCCTTTGTAACGACAGCAACACCCAGCAGCCCAGATTCTTAAGGCAAACTCTGCTCCAAAGATGAAAATGGCAAAGGTTTCCTGTATCAAAGACACAAACTACATTGTTAGACTCGTAACAAGTTTTGCAATAATTCTGGACACATGGAGATAGATGAAGGAAACGGATAAGATGCAAGTGTTGGGGTATGTGTGTGAGAGAGAGAGAGAGAGGAAAAAAGTGGGGAGGAGTATATAGGTTGATGAAAGAGGCAAGGCAAAGTGGGACATAGATTTACAGCCTGCTAATTACTCTGCAGAAAGGATGTGCCCCTGCTGTTGGGTAAATGTGAAGTGCTTGCCCTGCCTTGATGGAAGGGCAATTACTTCACAAAAAGACCTCCTGTTTCACACAAAATGAGAAGATATATGTGAGTGGTGACTGCAAAGTCCCCAGTGCACTGTATACCCACACCCGGGGCTACCCACCAGCAGCTTGTTCATGCAACTGTATCTATAGAAACAAGGACAGGATACAGTATATTCATATGGTGATAAATTTAAGGCAATAATAAAGGCATGTATAAGACAAATTTAAGGCATATATTATCCCCTTAAATTTCTGGTGCATGGAAGAATGGGATTTTCCACCTTCCTCAAGAACTCTTCTAAGCATGGGGAGGGAATGGGGAGGAAAGAGCTTCTCTGAGGTGCTCAGTGGAGATGGGCCAAGGGCAGCATGGGGCACACAGTTACTTTTCCTCTCTGTGAATAGCTGGCAAGGAGGAAAGGGGGATTTTTCCTGATGCTCATACCCACAGCTGCTAGGCACTTCTGAAAACCACTGAGAGCCACATAAAAGCAAGCACAGGGAAAGGAAAAATAACCTCAGGCTTTTTCAAATGAGAAAAGATGGGTCTGAGCAGGGTAACAGGGACCAAAAGTGAGTTTCACATTTCCTAGGGCATGAGGGTGTTTTCATACAGGCACTTTTTGAGAAGGAACATGCAAGGGAAATTCACCTTTCATTCCTTTTGGCATTTAGTTCTTGCTTGGATCTACATGTCTCTGAGGGTACAAGGGGAAATGGAAATTGAGATCCCGGAACTACTCTTGCTGTGCAGTTTCCCTAGGGATGTTTTTCTACAAGGCCAGGTTAAGTGAGAAGTTGCGTTCTCTATTTCAAGACAGCTATGGGAGCAGAGGAAGTTCTTTGTTAGGGTCATTTTCATAAAATGATGAATACGTCATGTTTATACTTAGCGAGGGTTTTTTTCCTATTTTTTTCTTCTTCTGCCAAATAGGAGGTCTACAGAAATAAAGTCTTGAGCATGAACTCCAGCATTTATAAAACAAGCATTCTGGAAACAGAGAAAGGAATATATTTATTGCAAATACATTTTCTCTCATGGATAGTCATTGGAGGCACTGCTTGCAACAATTTCAGTTACGCTGCTATTGGGCACAAGCATGAGTCCAATTCTGATGACCTCCCTTGAAAGAAATGCTGGGATTGGTAGAATACTGTCAAATGAATCAAAATTCTTGAAAGATCCCCAAAAAATGAGTTTTCAAATGTGCTCAGGTTTGTACTGATACTTCGATGGAGAACTGTTAGGCAAATGCTGAAAAAACGTTATTTAAAAGTCTCAGGTTAATATCTTTCCTCTCTCCTTACTTCCCTTTTACTCAGCTGGTGTTGACTATGGACCGGGAACTCTCCAATATGTAAGTGTACGGTCACTGCTCCAGGACAAACAGAAGCAATCTTATTGCATGCAGAGCTGGGAGTAAGTTTCCATCACTGCTGATGGTGCTGATTTCAATTCAAGGACATTACCAGGGTGATGCAGCAGCCAGTCTACTTACCAGCAAGAGGAGCCAGTCTCCCGAAACAGTTTCATACTCCTTGAAAGTTGTCAGGACAGCTAAGATCAAACACCCCAAGACAATCAGAAACCTGGAATTAAATAAAAGGAAAAAACACAGCATTGTTACCCCTCTTTGTATTTGCATTAGAGATGTTGCCTATAAAAACCTGGAGACCTTCAGGGGATGGTTACTTCCCATCTGTGAGCAGTGAGGTGGGCTCTCGTGAAGATCAAGGGTTCTCAGCCTGGACAGGGGGGGGCTGGCAGTCAAGAAATCATGGCAAGATCCTAAATCAGAATGGTCCTGGGACAGACATGCATTAATTAACTCGTTTGCATTCTTCAGGAAGGAAATGGATGATAGTGCATTTTGGGAAGGGGTTGGCGGAGGACTGTAATGCTCAGGAGGTCTGTTCGAAGCTGATGTGCTGTGCACTTCACAAAATGGCACTGCAGTTACAATGGAATAAATCTACTTGGCACATCCTGAGACCTGGGAAACAGTAAACGCTTCAATACAATGCACCACCAGGACAAACCCTCCCTTGAAAACTGCACTGCATTTATTTTTTCTTTCCCTTTTTGCGCTCATTTCTATGCAGATGAAAAGATAAAAAGGTTTGAAAGAGAAACAATAGAGAGGGTAAAGTTCTGCTCTCCAATAAACGCAGTGCGTGATAAATCACTACCCCTGTGCTATTGTCTGTACGTGAGGCTCCAGAACACAGAGATGTGACAGAAAATTTAACTCCCACTGCTGGTAAATCCAATTTAGTCCAAACTAAAGTCACGTTGATCTGCTTTGTAAAACTATTCCCAGGTTCAAGCTATTCAAAATCTTTTATATATAAAGAGGTAAGAAAAATCAAGGGAGTCTCGTAAGTGATTACTGTGAAGCAGAATGGGGGAAGCTCATATTCTAGTACTTCATGTACCCAGATCATGGACATTTTAATGTGCTCCCAAAACCTGATCCACAGGAACAGAGGGGCAGGTGGCCATGGAAATATTTCCGAGCTTAGTGAATAAATTGGAAGGATGTCTCCATAAAAGCTCTGGATCCCTTGCTTTCATAGCGAGGGTACATCAAAGCAATGATAGGCATTAGGTACTGAAATCACCCAGGGAAAAAAGCTTGTTAAGAATCAAACTGTGTTTACAGTGTACTACCTGTTTTGAATTTCAATCTGATACCTAAAGTGTGATTTCATTTCTTGATGAATAAAACTCCACTTTGTTTCACTGGGTGAAATGAGCAGAATCCACAGCCTGCAGTGTGGAGGCAGCGAGCAAGGACCACGGGGAAGGGAGGCTCAGCTCAGAGACACGTGTCCTCTAACCTGTCTTGGGGTTTTGTTTCCTTCACGTACAGGGAAAACTAGGGCTAAGGGATCATGTTCTGAGAATTTGCAACATTTTTGCAGCTAGAGTAAAAGGAGAGAGGTTAGCTCCTGCTGCCTTTTGGGAAGGAATTTCCTCCAAGCAGCATCAACTAGCAACCTCCATGCAAGGAACAGGAAACAGTGAAACACTTCACAGAAAACCCTGAAGGATTACCTTGCTGTGGCTTTCCTAACATTAGCTATTCAGACTGAAGTTTCCTATGCCAGGAAAATTTCAGATCAGCCATTTCGAGCAAGGTTAGAACAGAAATAAATGTGTTCTCTCATGCTAAGTAATTCTGAATTTCTTTGACAAGTTTCACCTTCTCCTACTCACCAGCCATGCTCTAAAGCAAGGGTTATGTGGTTGGTAGGAAACAGCCTTTGGGTCCAGAATGTGTCTTTTACCATCTACCTATGATAACCACACTCCTGCTGCTCAAGACATGTTCCTGCCATGCCCTCAAGCTTGCTTTGTCACACCATATCTTGCTGTTCCCCACCTTGCAATTACGAAGCCAGTGGCTCACTGGCTTCCCAAGACCCATGATCCAGCCACCCTGCACCTTTATGAACAAACTGGTGCGAACTCAACCGAGACAACGTGATTCCTTTGACTAGCTATAAACCACCTATGATCTGCCACATTACAGTGCTACCATCACTAATTCTCCATTTAAAGCCTTGAGCTACTGCTACTTGATGCTTTCCATTACAGCCATTTCTTTATACCATGTGAAGAGCCGGTCACCCATCAGCTCACAAGTATCATTCCAATGATTTAATGAAAGGCGAAACACACTGAAAACAGTTCAAGGAAATTACATCACCAGCTACTTAAACTAAAGGCGTGAATTTACGATATCATTCAACAGAACAGCACTGTCAATTAAAGATGCTGTGCAGATTTTTGTCCAAGAGGAAGAGAGAAGATAGTACTGAAATCGTAATCTTTTGCCTAAAACTGCCTGCGGTTTTACCACTAGAGGGTGTCAGTGCTCCATAGAGCAAGGGGATACGGCGCTCGCTCCTGTTTTCCTTCCCCATGAAACGAACTCAATGCAGGTGATGTTCAGGTGATCCCACCCATGTATTTGATATGCAAGGAAAGGAGTCTCACAGCGATGAAAACGCTTTTCCTTGGTCACTAAAAAACCCAAATGTTGGCATTAACGGACAAGGGGTGCTGCTAGCTCGATCGCTCTGTGCGCCACAGCCCATGCTGCAAGCCCCACTGCTCAAAGTGAGAGCCCACCCATGAAAACAACAGATAATGCAAGACAAAAAAAAGTAAAAGTAGGGTGAGAGGCTGAGACTGGAGATCACAAGTCACCATGAATAATTTTGAGGGCAAATCTGAGCAGGGAATGTGGTCTGAACCCCCTGTTGCAGGAAGTGCAAGAATGCAGCCCCGAAGAGTGCCTTGGAGGTGCAACTGCTCAGCAGGATCCACAATCGCAAAAAACACACAGCCCACAGAGCCAGGCTTCTGCTCCTTCTTGCAGTGCTCTGGGGTGTGCAGGGAAGAAAAGCCCATGTTGGGACACATAACTGCAATCCATCTTGGAAGGGTCAGCTATCCTCCTACCACTCTGTTTCCGAAGGATAAACACCCACTGCAAGTTAATCAAATCACATCTCAGCAATCTTCCCTTAGCATCTGAAATGACGACCGTGTTCAGAACACATCATGAATTTTAATCTCCATCGGTGCTATGCAACACACCGATTTCCCTGCAGCCTCTTCTGTTTCGATCTTGGTGTTTACAAAACCTGCAAGTCTTCTGGTGTCCTCTTTCTATGGAAGATGCTACACAGATGTCATGTTTTTTTCATCAATCCCCCTTGCTCAGCAAAGATGATAACAAGGTACATCTTCACCTTGCTGCTTATGCCCATATTGTGGGCATATGTACCACCTATGCCCATATCGTGGCCTTGGGAACATAAAAACTCTTAACTTGCTTGACAGTTGCGGAGTCTATATTGTCCTATGGCAATAGGACAATAGCTGAGTCTATTTTGTCTAATTTCATCTTTTAGAGGTAGCAGTGTGGGTCCAGTGGTTGAGCCTGACTGTAAAATCATAACAGTCAAATCTCACGGAACGAAACTGCTGAAATCATAGGGGATGAGCAGAGGGGAGACTAACACTGACCTGGGGCAGAGAGGGAGAAAGTCTCAAATTTACTCACAGTTATAATGACACTATCCATGGATCATAGAGCACCAAGGGTTACAAGAAAGAAATAGGGTAAAAGTCAAGGTTTAGTAATGAAAATTGAGTCCTATTAAGCCTAAGCTTCCCATTGAACAGCGTTTCAGCAGGTGGCAGTCCAGACTTCAAGACTGTAAATCAGATATGCCAAATAAGGATCTGAATTTGGTTCTCCAGTTTTTAGAATCGTCCTTGCTATCATTTTATATCCTTTTTCACAGCCTGTTACATTGTACCTATTTGCGGTATTATGCCTAAAATCCTGATTAGTTTCTTGTATGTGTAAGTTCCAGACAGCCAAATGGCAGTGGTCTTTTGTCACTGTAACAGCTAATATGCTATTCTAGTAAATACATGTTCTTATAATTGGAAATCACATGTTTAACACTCATATTTTCTAATCATACTATTTTGAAGTATTAAATGCAATATTCCAAAAACAATACATATTTTTTTCCAGGAAAGAAGAAATAATTTATGACTATGTTAGACCATGAATCTAATGTTTCTTGGATGAACATCACAGATGGTTTTGATAAATTTTGATTTCTTTTAATATTTCACATTCTTTGAGTTTCTCTTCTATATCTGCTTTCATTTGAAGCCAATATAATGAAGATCTAGCTGAGAACTTTTATATTTTTTCCATATATATGCGCTTATCATGTATCCTGTTCACCACCTCTTCAAAATTTTAGGAGCAGATCACATAGTAATTTGCCTATAATCTATTCCAAAACATAGCAGTCTTTTTGAAGCTGTCATGAGGACTAGATACATCATAGGCACGCCAAACAATATTTGCATCAGGCATCATTTTGGCAAATTTTTGTGCTGTGTGACAAAATTTGAAGTCTCAATTAGGCTTACAGTTAATAGAGAGAAAAGTGTGCTTCTAGTGTACAACTCAGTTGTTTTAAAGTAGACAGCTCAAGCTGGTCAGAAGCACCTACAGAGACAATTTCTTCTCTATAACTGTAAGGAAAGACTCTAGTGACTAGCTCCTATGGAGAAGTTTACTCTGTAAATTAGATGAATGCCACCCCTTATGTTCAGCCCTGTTTTGAATAGAATTACAAACACTACCTTTTAATTATATATTTTTACTACTGAAAGAACTAGCCTACCAGCCATACCAGCCTACTTCTTACATGACCAGGTTTCTCTGAAATCCCTTACTGTAAATTTAGGTATCACATCTACATGTGTTCGAGGATCCTGCTTACAAAATGATAATCCAGGCTCTGGGCAGGAAAGCCTCTTGAACAGTTACTAGTAAGAAATCCCCTCCAGTGAGACAGTGCATAGACTTCTGTTTGCTCTCACATCTCACATCTTAATTTCTTGCAAGCCATTGGAATTTCCTCTGTCTCCAAATGTTCTTATGAATCTGAGATTTTTCTGCTTTGCTTCATTTGATCCTTTCTTGTTTTCCCTTAAAACTTGTGTTCTAGTTTCATTATGTTCTGCCACCTGGTAAATGCTAATGGAATTCTCTAAGGTTATATTAGGAAAACCTGGCAGTGTTTTGCTCAATTTTTGTTTTATGGTTCCCAGTGCAATATGGTCCTAAAACCATGGTTCCCACACAATTTCCCAAATTTCATATTGGAACAACCTTATTTTCTCCAACTATTGGCTTTTACCCATAAGGATTAAAAATGCATCTTTTCTCACAGTTCTTTCAGTTGCTCTATATTCCTACCCACCATCTTTTTCTCTGCATCCAAACTTCAGTTTTCACAGAACATCTGCAGTATCTTGCACTGATCGTTTTATGGTTGCTAATGAGAGGCTTGAGTTGGGATTTTTAACACTAAAAAATGACATTACCAAATATTTGAGAACAGCTCTTCAGAGAGAAGGGAATGCATGCCTGACTTTCACAGACTTGGGAATATTCACTGTTTAATATTTAGATTCTTACATCTCTGCTATTCCAAGCAATAGGCCAGCTACTCTTACAAAGATCAGTACTGAGATAAAGGTGACGGGAAAAATCTGAAAACTTTGTGAGGCTACAACTGTGCACTGTGTAGAGGGGTATGGGGAAGTGCACTGAGAAACTCAGCGGGGGTCCTGGAGGAGGAGTGAAAAAGCAGCAAGTGCTGCAGTTAGGGATGTTCAAAGGTTCCTCTTTCTCTGCATCCAGATTCCACTGAGTACACAGAGCTCCATGCAGAAGCCCCTGGCCCAATGCCATCATACAGCAAGGACAGGGTAGAAATGCCATGCTCAGTAAGCTGACTTGCACTTGTGCTCTGCTGCAATGGCAGAGACAGAGCAAGATCCTCCACAAGATGCTGGAGGAAATCCTAGGAAGTAAGGAAAGATCCCCAAAAGATCCCTAGTCTCACTGGCATACCAGCTGATCTGGCAGGTGATGAAGTGGTAGCCCAGAAGACAGTAGTCCATTGGTGACAGAAGTGAGAGACATTGTCCCTCTCACAGCAGGAAGCTGAGCCAGAAAAGTCTAAATGCTTATTCATGCCAAGTTTTTTATGACCTTGGGTTCTCATTGGCAGGAGTGCCTCTGAACGAGCTTCACTGCTGTTTCCCTAAGTTTGGAAAGCTTTTAAAAAGCAAGATCTGGGAGAGGAGGATCTATGCCCCTTCACAGCAGGGCATTTAAGGTGCCAAAGAACAGCTTTTAAATCAGACAGTTCCTCTCGCCTGTCCTCTGCATACAAGCCAAGAGCCTGGTTAAGGCCTCCTCCTCTTGTTGCTTTTTCTTCATGTCCAGTCCTAAAAACTTTTTGCTTCAGTGCCCTGTGTACCACCATTGCCAGCTTCCTTAGGGAGTCTGGCATGCTGGTATAAAATATTTTGGGTCAGCAATGTCACCATCATCCTGGATTTTCTGCTCTAGGGGACATTTCGGAAGAATGGCCTGACACATTTCCCAGGTTTGCTGGCATGAGACTGCAAAATGGAAAGCTCAGAGCACTACATTTCCCTGCCTGATTTTTCTTATCTTGGAAGACAAGAGTCATCCACCAAGATCCCCTTTCCATCTTGTCTCTGAGACAAGTTTTAAAGATGCTCTGAAAAGTCTAGCATACATAGGTTACAAGAAGAGGCCTAGACATCTTATCACATGGGCAACCGGGGGACAGATTGCAGAAGCGAAGGAGAGGCAATGACAGCATTAGCTACCAAGGAGTTAGATGTCTCCTATCCTCCTGCAGCTTGAATAAGGATGGAAAACCTTCTGACTGGTGCAACTAAATTTTCTGAGTTGCTCTGTTAATGGCTTTAAATTCTATTTTTATATTAAGTGAATGACATTGAACTGAACTCTTGCTTGGGGCTTTTATCTGCCATGACTAGTATGCCTGTCCATGGGCTTATCTCTGGCTGGCAGAATGCTGTTAATTGAGTTGAGACTCACAGACTATGAAACACAGTGGGCCATGCAGCACAGCAAAGCAGGAACAGCACAGAGCCAAACCGCATTACCCAGCAGCCCCAGCTGCAAGAACTGCAAATCAAATGACTTTCAGAAATGCTTCTAACAGGACATTCTCCAAAGGACATTACCAAATTTGTGTGAAGCCATTTGAAGGTAAACTTTAATATTCATACATTGATTTCTCCTAAATTTTGTGAAATAAAAGTGTAGGACATTTGAAAGTCAGCCTGTAATTCAGCAGTCAAGTGCCCAGCCTTCAGCAAACCCCGTAAAGAAGAAAAGTGAATTTAGAGTATATAAAGAGCCTAAGGTAAAAGCATTAATCATCCATGTCAACACTTAAACATCCTAGGTAGGAATTTCCAGGAAAGTACCTTTCTAAGCATCATCAACACTGTTGTGTCTAGAGAGATGAAAAATCAAGGAGTCCACTTCCAAGCATGAAAAAACCTCAAGGATACCCAAGAATTAGAATCTCTCACACAGACATCTCCTCACAAACCATTTCCATTTCTTTAGGAATGAGGAGAGGAATGTGTTAAGTCCTCTGAGTGAATTTTTAGGGAGGTCCAAATAGTGAAACAGGGGAGAAACTTCTGAACCCACTGTTTTGCCTTTGCCTTAACTGAGCACACTGTTGTGATATCTTCTTCCTTCCCATTTGAGATCAATGAAAACCAAGACGGGGGGGGGGGAATAAAACCAGTCAAACAACCTACCCACTCTTTCTTGCACCTGACCAATTCCCTTTTCTCACAGGCACTCATGTCAAACATAGGTCCTCCAAAGGCGACAGAGCTGAGAGGGAATTTCTAATATCAGGAAGACAGCACTGTCCAGAAACAGCCCCTGTAGTCTCTAATACAGGATTTCTAGATAGGGAAATGATATCGTTAATTTGGTAGCCGGGCAGATTCTTACGGTGAACTGAAAAGAGAATCTTTACTCTTTAACCAAGACTTCAACTCATTTTGGAGCTTTGGCAGTTTTGGGTTTTTTTCTATTTTTGATCCTAAATTGCAAAAGATACTTTTTTAAACAATGCCAACACTTCCAACCTAATCTAGCACTTTCAGACAGGTGGGATTGCCAAGTGAAAAAACAATTTCCAATTTGGACTGTATCTTCTTTGCCTGTGCCGTCTCAAACTCCATCACACACTCACCTTTATGTGTGAACATGAGCACTTTATGCAATGATCTCAGTTTTCACACGGAGTGGGACATCCAGAAGAAAAGTTGCATAGTGCCATTCCCAATGGACTTTTTTGCACGGTGAAAGAGTTGCAACTGTGTAAGGAAAAGACAGTGTAACAACACTGCCAGTACGCTCCAGGTGCAGGTAACAGTTTAGTGGGTTTTCCATTATGGGCAATGAAGGGTGTCCTGATAACGCAGCTCCTGTGGAGCCAGATGTATGGCTCAATTTATCTCCTGGATTACAGGAGATAAATATTATCACTTTAAGAGCCCCTTTCTGAATTTTCTGGTATTAACTCCACAGAAAGCTCTATCATTTTTCACCTGAGCTGGTCACAGTTTTGGCTGTGACGCAGGGCACTTGACTCAGGGCTTTTCCAGCTGAAAGCATGAAGTATTACAGCTAGAATGGAAGAGATATCTTTTCCACATAGTGTTTAATCACTGGCTACACTGGAGAAAATCAGACAAAGGTCTCAGATCCTTGCTTTGAACTATCCAGTTGTTGAGTTTTTTTTTAATCCAGGAGGATTTTTTGAACTTTTTCTAATTTTTATATAAGTGAAGAGTGCAGAGTCATCACTGCTTCTTACTCTGTGTGACAACACTGCACATCAGTTTTTCTTAACAAACTGGTCTGTAGCCTATGACCCATTCACAAATCCAGTGGTGCTGCAAATCAAGCACACATCAATCAGTCAGGAAAGGATTTATTACTGTGCAGAATACAAAGTAGATGAGCTGCTCTCAATTTATTCACAGGGAGAGAAGAGAAGGAGAAAGGATCTGTGCTAAAAGATGCACAGACTAAACTCACGTTACAGCAGCTGTGGATCAAATGAAGAGTGGTCATGTGGAGTAACACAGGCAAAATACTGTGTTAATAGACCAAACTTCCCTGCAAATCAAACCACATTTTGAGTCCAGTTTGACTTGATGGTGTCCCCATAAACCTTTTCCTACATCAGACTCTTCATTTTTCCTTCATGCTCTGTAGATATGCAGGCTGTAGTTTGGCATTGATGATCAGTCAGGCAACAAGGCTTCACAGCTCTGGCCAGTACCCCATAAAATGGCATTATCTGGAGGCCAGGGGAAGGCCACTGAGTGCCAAATGCAGAATATTCTTGAATATCTCTTTCTACAAAAGAACTGGGGGTGTCTCAGAGGCTTTAGATTATCTCAGATATCACATGAAAATAGCCATTTTTAAACATATCAATGTAGGGGTCTTATCTCAGTCAGAAACCTACCCAAGGGATGGGCTTTTATCAGATAATTATGGACAGCCTGGTGCAACTTCACTCTCTAGCTGCTGCTCCATAGGAGCGCAGATGTCCCATAGGTTCTGTTACATATTTGCCAGCTCTATATGGATACTGAAGATCCCCCATGGTGTCTCATAGTGCACTAGGTGCACATGATTCAAGCCTCAGTTCATTGCCTTTTTGGAGGAGATGACTCCATTATACCCACTGAGAGTATCACCAGAGTCCTGGCACTGAACACAGTGTCGCGTGGAAGAAAATGCATTTTTGATGTCAACCTGAACAGCATGGTCTCCCAATCACACCTTCCCCAGCTGGCCAAATGCTCACTGCCATGCCCTTTCTCACAGTGCAAAAATGAAACCACTCAGATGCACACCAGTCAAACCTCTGCCACAGGTCTTATGCCCTTTAATACCTGCATTTCAAAATATATTTAAGGGCCTCTCTTCTCATAGTTCTATATGAACATTGGAAAGATTTTTTTAACAATTTACTAGGAAGACAGAAGAGGGACAGAAAGTGGATTTCAACCCTAAAATGTCGGCTGCTGCCTTGATGGTTTAACACGACAAGATATGTGGGCTGGATAGAAATGTGAGGGGGGTGATCAGTTGCTTAGAGGCAAATCCCTTTATAATAGTGGGGTTTTAATATCTCTTCTTCAAACTAATGAGAGTATGTCAATAACTTTAAAGTGATTCAGCAAAGGTGCTTACAGAGGCTGTGTGATGTGGAATGTCTATAGGATCTGCACTTCC